GATGTACAAGAAGGAAAAAAGGAAGGAAGATTGTATGGGAAGGAAGGAAGGAAGGAAGGTAGGAAGGAAGGAAGGAAGGAAGGAAGGAAGGAAGGAAGGGCACAAGGCAATTATAGGGGATCAAATTATGTTTATATTATGTTTACATAAATAAAGGAAATATTAATTGTGACCATGTGTTCTCAGGTAAATACCGTAGTAATTCATCGGTCTACTTTTAATCTAAAAAAAAAGGAGGATAAATCACAAATTGCTCTGTGCACTCTCTGTGTGTTCTCAAACAAGGCTACACAGGTAGTAACAGGGACAGATCTATATGATCCAGAGTAAAGCTCTCAACCTGAGCTTCATGATCTAGATGTCATCAGACAATCGTTTCTTCTCCCTAAGACCCATTAATCCAAAAGATTATAAATGTCTAGAGAGTTTGACACGGAAGAGTGTTGCTGTTCTTTCAGATTTCGTGGTCTGTATTTGAAAGGAGGGAAGTAGAATTCCACCAGAAAACCAGGAACTCACCTAGAACTATTTTGAAGGTCTGATCTATAGGATGCATTGTTTTACTTTCTACATCTCATTACAATCTGCGGACTGGTAATCTTGAGAACAAGAGGGGATCCCTTAGCATGTGAGAAATGAAGAAATAAGCGGAAGGGGCAACAATACTTCTGTATTATCATTACATAAATTTATAAATGCAAATCATAAAATATTTGCATGCATCAGAACCAGCAGACAATTAGGATCTAATGGGGTTAGAAACTGGTCTAGGGCAGGGGTAGGCAACCTTGGCTCTTTTATGACTCGTGGACTTCAACTCCCAGAATTCCTGAGCCAGCCATGCTGAGGGGAAAGGGAGAAGTTTCCAAGCTGAGGCAGGCTGGCTCAGGAATTCTGGGAGTTGAAGTCCACGAGTCTTAAAGTTGCCAAGGTTGAAGACCCCTGATATAGGCCAGGGGTGGGCAACCTTGGCCCTTTTATGATTCGTGGACTTCAACTCCCAGAATTCCTGAGCCAGCATGGCTCAGCTTGGAAATCTCTCCCTTTCCCCTCAGCATGGCTGGCTCAGGAATTCTGGGAGCTGAAGTCCACGAGTCATAAAAGAGCCAAGGTTGCCTACTCCTTCAGTCTAGTGGTTAAGGCACAAGGCGACAAAGTGGAGACCACGAGTTCAAGTCCCACCTTAGCCATGAAAGCCAGCTGCTGACTTTAGGCCAATCACAAGGAGACTGTGAGTTCTAGTCCTGCCTCAGACATGAAAGCCAGCTGGGTGACTTTGAGCCAGTCCCTTTCTCTCAGCCCAACTCACCTCACAGGGCTGTCGTTGTGAGGAAAATAAGAGGAAGAAGGCGTGTTGGGTACACTTGAGTTATTTGTAAAAGTAATAAAGGCGGGATGCAGATAGATAAATAAATAAATAAATAAAGCTGCTGAGGCAACTCTCTTCAATATGGGAATGCAGATGTCCAATAGGAGCCAGGATGGCATCAAAACACCACGTGCGCATCATAACATCCTCAAATTACACAAATATGTAATTCACGTCATTTGTGTGGTGACATCAGATGTCATTTATCATCCTTGCTCCCCCCCCACAGATATCTATCGGTATGTAACTGAAGTGATTCTACTCATTTAAAAGTTGGGTTGAACACTCTGCAATGGGAAATGTTTTAAGTACAGACTGGAATTTTGGGCAAAGTGCAGCTATTCGGAGTCCAGTCTGATCTGTTCTTCTACTCCAGAAATTACTTTCCAATTCAGTGCAAATGTCTATTCCGCAATCACCTATAGATCTATTTTTGGCAAACGTCCCAACAAGAGTTTCCAGTAACCAATGAAGTGTATTTCTCACACTTTAAAGGTTCGCCTCTTATTCTTAAGCTGCAATCCAGAGAGAATAACAACCTGCAGAAAGTAAGCTAATGCGTCGTAGGTTGCTTTAATATTTCACTTACCATAAACTTACTATTACTATTTTTTATTAGAAGAGGAAAAACTCTATGGCTAAGTTAATCATTTTCACTACTTACTCCATCTATAAATTAGTATTACAAATATCTAATCCTGCCAGTTAAAGTCTTCCCTTGCTGATTAATCAGCTGAAAAGACTAAAAAACGTACACTATGGTTTAAAAAAAAAAGAGTTTGACAGAAAGATCTTGTGATCTCTTCAAGGAACATTCTTAAATAATTGAAAGACCGATAGAACAATATTTCCCACACTATATACAGAGGGATGGATGGATGGATGGATGGATGGATGGATGGATGGGAGGGAGGGAGGGAGGGAGGGAGGGAGGGAAGGAGGAGGAAGGAAGGAAGGAAGGAAGGAAGGAAGGAAGGAAGGAAGGAAGGAAGGAAGGAAGGAAGGAAGGAAGGAAGGAAGGAAGGAAGGAAGGAAAGAATCCACTCCAGTCAAGGTTACTCAATAAAACCTTTTTACAAGAGAGAAAGATAGTTCATTGATTCCAATTTAATTCATTCAACTGGTTGAGATTTGGCAAACGTTCCACCAACCTTTGACCTGACTAATCTATTTCTTTGAAATTGAGCCTGATTTTTTTCTCATTTCCTAGGTCCCAATCCCAGATGCTTTAACTTCTCAAGAAATGGCCAGTGATTTCTTAGAAATTAATTGGTAAGAGAAACCTTTATCAGAGGGAGGAACTTCCATAGGAGATGCAACATCTCTAGTAATCTGCTCCAAGAAAGAAATCCTTACTTGAAGATAGATTATTAACTTGGAGAAACCCTCTTAATCCACTGCCAAGTCAATCTTTTAGAAGAGGTAACAGCTAGTACCCACATCCCTTAGGCCAGGGGTAGGCACCCTTGGCTCTTTTATGACTCGTGGACTTCAACTCCCAGAATTCCTGAGCCAGCATGGCTCAGCTTGGAAACTCTCCCTTTCCCCTCAGCATGGCTGGCTCAGGAATTCTGGGAGCTGAAGTCCACGAGTCATAAAAGAGCCAAGGTTGCCTACCCCTGCTTTAGGCTTACCCAATTATTTCACAGGGTTTGAGATGGCCAAGACCCTATCGAGAACTATGAAAGAATCGCTGACCAAGGTGCTGATTCTGACTTCCATTGAATGTTCCACTACATTGAGTGCCTCCCAAACTGCCAATATCTGTAGCTATCATCATCGTCATCCTTGGGAAGGATTGGATAGGTGGATAAAAAATACCAAATTCAGTCTAAACATATGGTTGACTGTACAACAAACCACAACAGATCTTTGGGAACGAGTCGATATCCCCAAACTTCTGGAGTACCACTTAAACATCATCAACATTGACAAAATCACCATCAGTCAATTGCAAAAGGCAGCTTTACTTGGAACAGCTTATAACCTGTGACGATTCTTTTAATATTATTTTTAAAAAAACAACATCTGCCTATCTTAAGTCCTTGGGAAGGACTTGACAGGTGGACAAAAATACCAAATCTAGTCTAAACATCTGGCTGAGTGTGCCACTAACCATAATAATATCGTCTTAGCTAAATAAAGCATGGCGTTCTGCGCTAGGCATCCAGATGCATAGACTGTAATTCTCATTATCTCCCACTCAACATCTGGTTGGTCAATGGAGGAAAAGCAGACTCAACAGTTTCTATACACACATGTTGTTTACATATTTACACGAATCTGCCCATTTCTACAATTAAAGTAG